GTATGGGGCTGGGGCATATGCAGAGAGGAGCAATATAGGGGTAGCTGTTTGGCTGTGAGGGGGTATACGTGTGGAGGCACAGCGCAGGAGCAGTGCGCGTGCAGGGGGCTGTATAGGAGGGGGTATGGCACATACCGAGGGGTACGGGGCCACCGGCAGGAGTTTGCTGCCTGCCCGGTGAAGCCCGCTGGCCTGGGCAGCCCCAGCTCCCTGCGGATGGAGTTATTCCCACGCGTGAGGCTCTGCCCTGCGAATTCCAGCGTAAGACACTGACGCTAATCCTGGTCGTCCTCTCTGATCGCCGCCCCAGGTCCTCTGCATTGTTTCTTCGTTAACTGCTTCCTCTAATTCCCTGTGCCTCCTGCACCAACTCTCCTCCTCGTTTTCTGATTTTTACTTCATTTTCGTTATTAGTTATTATATTGGTAGAAGTTTCCCCCCCTCCTTGTCATTTAGCAGTGCTGGCTCTCCTTGACGATAAATGCCTTACAGATGGAGAAGGCTTTTCCTTAAAGCACGGGGAGAAGCTTGAAAGGCTCAAAACCTGGGGAGAAATTAAAGTAAAGTATCCTTGTATTTTATTTGATGAACTTGCTAGTTAAATCTCCTCCATCACGTCTTCTCCTGAGTATTACTGGAGTCAGGCTTGCAAAGAAACTGCTGGTCACCACGTGTGCTTTTAATTTAGCATTGCCATTCCCAAATAATCCCTTCATCTGCTAATAGATCCGCTTATTCCTTTTCCTCTCCCTCCTCCAGCCACCGCGGCTGGGCTGGGGAGGAGGAGTTGTCCTCTCCCAGCTCTCCCCAGCCAACGTGGTGGGAGATTTCCCCGCTGACCTTGAATTCCCAAGAATGACCAGATGCTCTGGGATGACTCTGGTGTGCTTCATCCCCATAGAGAGATGCTACTAAATATGTGTATTTCTTCTTTTTTAGCTAATTTGGGCTGAAAACAAGAGGCTGAACAAGGCGACGGATGGGGTGGAGAAGAGGGGACCGTACATCATGAGCAAGCCTCCCTCTGTTCATGCCAAGCTGCGTAAGTGATGCTCGGTGTCACCCCAGGGACTCTACTGGGAGTTGGGGAGTCATATACACCTCTCACCCAGGGCGGGAGTCACCAAAAGCCTTTTTATCTCTTGGTGGGATAAAACCATAAAGAAAAAGCATAGCACCACCCCCCCCCAAAGTGCTGCCTATGGAAAGCACTGCAATGCCCCCATGCTCTCCTTAGGGCCAACCTGCAGTGCTCCCCCTTCGCCTCCCCTAAAAAAAGACCCTTGGGGAACGCTTGGGTATTTTTAGCTCTGCCCCTGTGCTTGGCTTTCAGAGAGGCAGCGTGAGCTAGCGAAGGCAGCGCTGCGAAGGCAGGGGCTGCTGGGGGGACCTGCGCCGCACCAGCCGAAGCCAGCGGCTAAAAGGGCTGATCCCGTTCTTCTTTTCCTGAGCTGTATTTTTCACATTCCTTGGGGAGACTGGGAAACTCGGAGGATGAAAAAATGAGTTTGGGACCTTCACTGCTGGCTCTGTTGTGGCCAGCAAGCATCCGATATAATAAAAGATAGCTCTTTTCCTGCAAAAGTTAGGAGTTGCTCTAGCAGGGGCCATGCTCCTTCTTCTTTGTTTTGGGGATGGTTTGGTGTTAAGGATTTAATCGGGTAGCCTAGAGCTTCGCTGGAGTCTGTTCTTAGCTGGTGGTGGCCCTGGAGAATGCCTGGGTGGGAAGGGACACTCAGGACCGGGATTCCTGCCCTG